CTGAAGGACAATTCACACTTTATTATATTGCTTTACCAATTCTGAATGTGATAGAAAACTCCCAATTATTTAATATTTATTTTATATACTTATATATTATACTTTTTATATCGAGTTCCTCACACACAAATGTAAATGTATGTAAACAAAATACATTTATAGGAGTATATGTGGATGGGGTAGATATATACATATATATTTATGTATGAATTATTTATTATAACTATTCTGCAGTTGCCCAACCTAATGCCTCTATTATTCATTTTAATTTAGATTCCCACACTTGGCTATGATAATTGATTTGTGTATCTATTCTCTCCAAAACTGAGGAAATATTAGGACAGAGCTGTTATTATATATATATAATTTTTCTTTTCTCTTTTTTTATTGTACTTTAGGTTCTGGGGTACATGTATAGATCATGCAGGATTGTTGCATAGGTATACACATGGCAATGTGATTTGCTGCTTCCATCCCCCTGTCACCTATATCTGGCATTTCTCCCCGTGTTAGCCCTCCCCAACCTCTCCAGCCCCTGCTGTCACACCCCTAGACCCCCTCAACAGACCCCAGTGTGGGATGCTCCCCTCTCTGTCCATGTGTTCTCATTGTTCAACCACCTATGCTGTTACACCATATTTTGTAACCCCTCAGTACCTAGAGACATAGTAAATTATTCCTTAAATGAATGAATGGTTTCTTCCCCCCTGTTTAAAGTAGAAATATTTAGAAATATTTTGCCCTTTTTTGTCCACATCTATTTAACAATCAACTTGTAAATCACTAGAAGTAGTGTATTTGATTGGAAACTGCAATGCATTTCTACAAATTATTTTTTTGACAAAGGATAAAATAATTTGAATTGGAGGGTTATCTTTAAAATATTAAATGCTGTTATTGTTAAAACAATTTGAAGAAGATTTTATGTGTGGTCAGAATAGACAGAGCCTGTACACAGAAGATTTCTATTTCTTGACCCGTGATTGTTGCTCTCATGAATTTGAAAAAGTTAAAAACAGCCAAGGGTTTCTGTTTAATAGATCCAAGATTTCTTTAGAGGTGCTTATTTTTGTTTGTTTTTTTTTGTGGCAGCATGCAAACCTAAATTTCAGTAATTAACATGAAATTTGATTTCAGGAAAACACAACCTTAAATAGCTATGGGGAAAATGTTTTGAAATTGCTTTAGTGTTGCTATTTTCCACTTAAGAAGATAAACAAAACTGAGCATATTATCATAAATATATATAGAAATCTAAAATGCATATCATAATTTGTATATACATACATACATATTATGTGCTATATGCCAATATGTTAAATAAAGGTATTTTTTCATCTGAAAACAAAAAACTCTTTAATTATCTGGTGTGTGTTTGTAGTAGGTTAGCATTTTACGTAGCATTGCTTTGGGAGCTCAAATGAATTTTTTTTGAAATTCCTGTGTGTCATAACCTGAAGAGTATCACAAATTTGAGAAAGAGAACATTCATGGCACATTAAATATGTGCATGTGGGTGACAGAGAGAGAAAGGAGAAAGAGTGCGTGTTTTTGTTTATGTGGGTATCTTTGCATTGACTTACTGTATGTTATTTTTTAACCCTATAGACTCTGATGTTTTTCCAGTCATGTTTTATTTATGTGGCTTTTTAAAACTTTATTTTTTTTAACATTTAGTTTCATGGGTACATGTGCAGGTTTGTTGTATTCATAAATTGCGTATCACAGGGATTTGATGCATATCACACAGATTATTTCATCATCCAGGTAATAAGCATAGTATTTAATAGGTAGTTTTTTGAGCTTCATCCTCCTTGCACCCTCTACCTTCACATCGGTCCCAGTGTCTGTTGTTCCTATCTTTGTGTCCATGTATACTCAGTGTTTAGTACCCTGTTATAAGGGAGAACATGTGATATCTGGATTTCTGTTCTTGCGCTAGTTTACTCCTATTCATGTTGCTGCCAAGAATATAGTCTTATTCATTTTTATGGCTGTGTAGTATCTCATAGTATATATGTCCACATTTTCTTTATCCAGTCTACTATTGATGGGCATTGAGATTGATTCCATGACTTTGCTATTGTAAATAGTGCTGCAATGAACACATGCACAGTAGGAGTATCTCTTTTATCTCTACTCTAATAGCGTCATATCATTAGGTCAGGCCCAGCTAGTTAATTTCCTTTTTGTTTAACAGAAGTTTGACTGCTTAGAGACCTTAATTACATCTTCAAAATACCTTTCCTCTTTTCTAATCTATTAGTTAGAAAAGTTGTTAGTCCTGCCCGTATTCAAGGGGCAGGGATTACAGACAGGTGTGGATATCAGGAGCTAAAAATACCCAGGCCATTTTATAATTCTGCCTACCACACCCTGTGACTTCAGTTTGCAAATAATTTAAGAGGGAGAAAATAATATCCTGTTTTTGCTATCTTAATTTGTAATTTTTCACCTGTATTGTAACCAGCATGAAAGCACTATAGAAGCAATAATATCCTCTGTAATTAATAAATAATACTGTGGTTATGAACGTTTTCTTATCTTTGCATAACTCAAAGGAAACTTTTGTGACCATTCTTCTGTTAAAGTAATATTAATATACTCTATAGAAGCATTCTTTGCTTGACCTAATTCCAAATTGGTGCTTTGAAAAAGAGACCCAAATGTGGAGACACATGTTCATGATGTGAGGAATGATAAATCTTAAAAGATTTTCTCGTCATTTGGACTTTTATATTATTTTAACACTTTGCCATATCAGTCAAGAAATACTTGTGCCCCACTTGTGGTTTAGATTGCATAACACAAAATCTCTAATACTCTAATACTCTTGAATAATATTTTTCAGAATTTAAGATTATTTCATTTAATCTTTCAGGAAATAAAAATATAGTCAAGATAATTTATTTTATTATACTAGATTTTACTTAAAAATGCTAATGATTTACTGAAAATTATCATCAATTAACAGAATCTTAGTGTGTATTGAAATATGTCTACACTGGAATAATCTTTTACTTTGAAATATTTATCGCTTAGACGTTGCTAATTTATGTGTCTAGATAATTATATTTAAATTAATATACAAAAAATTACAGTCCTTTTTAGGCAAAACTTCATCATACTTAAACTTTTAAAATGTTTTAAGTTGATTGAATTCAATCTGTAATTACACCTTCAGCTCCCATTTCTCCTTTTTTGTTTCCAGGTTAAGCTGTAATCAAAATTCAGTTTATGAGACAAAATGGAAGTTCTGCCATTGAATACTCCTTGAACAAGAAACTCTTCTGAATAGGCCAAAAGGATGAAAACTTTGACTATATAAACAACTTTTGTCATCACAGGTCGAGTATTATGTTCTCCTGTTTTATAAAACCAATATCATCTAAAAGATTGTGCATGATTATAAACATAACCTTTCCAAAATAAAATCAGAACTTCTTCCTGTGCCAGCATCATGAAATGTTCATATTACTGTGATGAGAATGTTATAAGTGGATGAGCACTATTTGTTCATCAGGGACTCTTTTTCTTCCCTAAAATTTAGAAGATTTTAAAAGTAGTATTGATCTAACCACTTTCTTCCAGCCCATGTTGCTTTCTCTATAAACTTTGCTGCCCATTAATTGCTCTTGAATTGATAGCCATTGTTCATAACTCCCACTGTGTTCAATCATCAGGCAATAGAAATTAGAACAATAGGAAATATTTGTTAATATGATTCTTTGATGTACTCAAAAAATTCAAGGACTTTTAAGTGTAACATCTAATACATGTGGATTTAATTTTGTAGACAAAAAGAAAGCCTAACATGAAAACTCAGCAATTCATAAGGGCCATCATACTCAGAAGATTAAGTCTTTTAAAGAATTTGGCATGCGGAAAGAGAGCATAGATTATTACACATTGTTAAAGCAGTGGAGCCTAGCAGATAGTAGTCCTAGAGCTTTCTGGGTGTCTACAAAGACATAACATTATTTAGTCTCATGTGAGTCGCTATTGAAACCTCCCTCACTTTACAGACTATTTCTCATAATATACAAAATTCTGAGTTAGACCTTGGAAATTCTTTTTAAAATAAAAGTATATTCTTAGAATAAGAGTAGCAGTTCACACACAAAGGCAATTAATAAACTATTCATCAGATTATGTTAGCAGTTGCCATTGAGGGAAACAGAAGGATTCTACTTTGTCTCCTTGCAGAGAAGGTAAGAGCCATACATTGTAAAATACCTGTGCCGTCTATACTAATTTTATGCTTTCTTGTTTTTGTCTACCAATCTACCGTTGCATCTGATAGTACCCATGTATTCCACAAAAGGTCAAGTACAACCTATATAGTTAGGCATACAAATAGCTTCTTTGCCCCTCAAGAAGACAGAATCAAGAAGAGATTTACACAGAGCCAAAGTGAACTCATCCAATTTGAGCAGCTATTTCAGTGTCTTGGGATCCACAGCATGGCCTAGAATTAGTAAAAGCTTTAATAAGGACACATCTTGTTGGCTCCATTGACTCCTTACTTAGGACGAAGAGGCATGGTCACACAAGGTAAGAACTGGATACTCTAAAGCCCAGGTCCAAGATGGGTCCTTGATTGCCCATGTTTGTAGTGGCACTGTGCTCCTTATTTTTATACATTTAAAAAATGTTTTGCTGACTTATACTTGTTTCTCTTAATTCACTAATTTATATTTATTAACTAGTATATCTTAATAGCTAAGATTTTTTCTTTATTGTAATAAACTTTTCTTGTGAATATTATATAACATCAATCAAAATATTTCTTTTTTTTTTTTTGAGATGGTGTCTCACTCTATCATCATCCAGGCTGGAGTGCAGAGGTGCGATCTCGGCTCACTCCAACCTCTGCCTTCTGGCTTCAAGCAATTCTCATGCCTCACCCTTCTGAGTAGTGGGGACTACAGGCACGTGCCACTATGCCTGGCTAGATTTTTAATTTTTTGGTAGAGACAGGATTTCACTATACTGGCGAGGCTGGTCTTGAACTTCTGACCTCATGATCTGCCTGCCTTGGCCTCCCAAAGTACTGGGATTACAGGCATAAGCCACCGTGCCTGCCTATTTTCCTTTTAACAAGATATGTATTTTAACATTAAGCCAATAAATTTCACATGATAACGTTTTGTACATCTGGGCGAATATTTTATACAAATTATTTTATATCTCTTGACAGTACTTAGGAACTTATGTCATAAATTATAATGATATTAGTTGAGCAAATCAAACTTCTAGAATTAAATAGTAATAAAGATGTAATTGCCGATGGAGTAATATTTCATTTTTATTACTGTAATGGTATCTGAGAAAACAGATATATTTTGTTTCTTGTAATTTACTCAATTATGTCTTTATGTTTTAAGCTCTTCCGATTCCATTTTGAATTTAACTTTTATTAACCTAAGTTTTAGTCACATTTTGCTTTATCTAAATGTACCAAAATATTAGTATTAGCTATTTTCTTATGTATAATAATCTTAATACTTTCAGATTTTTACACCCAAATCTAGAATTTTCAGTATCGAGACAAATTAATTTTGTGAAACTGGGAACTTAATTTTTCATTACATAAAAAATCTATTCTTAGTTTGCTTGTTTGGGTTGCCTTAAAAGGTAAAGACTGCTGGATACACAATGCCATCAACAATATTTTTTATAATTCTAGTACAATTTAATTTTAAATTACAAATATATATTGTTTAATTTTGATAGCAAATGAAAGTTGCTTTATGTTTATTGAAGAGTCTCAATGATTTCCTTGGTTGGAAATACTTTATTGACCCAAATGGCAGGAAGACCACTCAGCTCAGAGGAATGTTCCCAAATAGGGAAGAATGAAATGTAGCCAGCAGATATGTGCCTTCTCATATTATGGAGCATGGTGACTCTTCTCTGCTGATCTATGTTTACACAGCCAACTCTCAGGCAGGATTCTCAACTGGACCATAGGATGTGAACACGGCATAGGTAAGGTCAGTGCTCTTCCTTTTGTACAAAGTAGGGAATATAACTAATTGTCTCTTAGATTATAAAATAAAATAACACCTATACCTTTTCTCAATATAGTTGGGAAATAAATGAATGATAGAAAGGGCATCTGTTGCATTCTTTTTCTTGTAAATCATATTGAAAAATTCCACATTAATATCAGAAGAGCCTACTTGCATTTCAGGTTTGTGGAAAATTTGAACTTATTGAAATTAGTAAAGACAATATGTCTTAAAAATGTACAATACATTCATTGAAATCTATTTAAAGTTTCATTTTGGCCCAAATTTTGATTTCTGTTATCCCCAAGGTAATGTTGATAAAATCATTTTGCACTTTTGAGAGTTATGTAAAAGAAAGCCTCTGTAAATAATTTAAATTATTGTCAGGAAACAGTATGTAGTATCATAAAACAGTCTACAAGAAAGCATTGCGTTTCTTATTTTTGAAAGAGAATTGGGTTGAGAATCAGAAGATCTGAGATTGTACTCCACGTCTTTTAATAATTAGTTATGCAGTATTTACCTTTTCTATACAGTGTTTTACTGTATTAAGTTATAGGAATTAGTAGTATCTAGGCCTCTTTTAGGCTAAAATTCTGTGATACTTAGCTGCACTATAATAAGAAAAAACTTTTGTTTACAAACTATACAGATATATGTTTTACATAAATTTTGCATAATGAAGCATTAACAGTTGTAATATATTTAAAAGCTATGAAAATATTCTCCCATGCCATAATATCCTATCTAATAGTCATATTCCTAACATAAGTGTTTCTCGTGGATTGTACTTATAGCAAGACATGTGACTTTATTAAGGGTAGATAATGGACCTTTAATAAATATTTGTTGACTAAATAAATTTTGCAGTTCACAGATGCTTATATACTTTGTTTTATTCTTTGAGGAGAAAAATTATATTACACTACAGTCATTCACTATAGTGACACATTCTCTATAGTGACAGAATAAAGGTTATCTTACTCTATAACACTTGTCCTCTGCCAAACTAGACAAGAACTAGGGAGTAAAAAACAACAGGAAACACTTGAAAGATTATAGTTGTTACCAAAACAAAAGATAGAGCTCAATATGGATTCCAAATTGTTTTTCCCAATTTGTTGAAAGACTAATGACAATTTATATTTCAAACAAAATTATTTAGTGGTGGGAGTTATCTTTTTGACTTTATCATTTTCATTTTGCATTGCGGGTAGAAATGGTAATTTCTCTTATCAACTTGAAAAATTCAACTGCTTGGTGTCATATAAATGAAAAGCATAGTCTATGTTTTTGTATTCTTGAACTGTAATTTGAATATTATGAATAAATTATATATTGTTGGGAAAAGCAGCAAAGGAGAAAGGGCTTACAGAGTGCCTACATACATTGGTTATGAGTAATGTATAAACAAGGAACAACAAACTGCAGAAAGCTGCAGGAGATCTCTGGGGAGGAAGATGCCTCATGTTCCGGTGTGGGGTGACCTCGGCTCTGTTACCATAAATATTGTGCTCAAGGACATAAAACCCCTTTGTAGCACTATGATGTAGCCAGACTGATAGTCTCCTTGTAAGGTTTGTGTTCCACCAGCTGTACATAGATAATAAGCTAAAGATAAACACATGTTCTTGTGTGAAACTCCTAAATGGCCACTGTTATCATCCTTAGCATGACACACCAGTTCTGGCTCACAGATTCACTCCACCATCACTCCACCCCTACCCTATAGATCAATAAATAGTGTGGATAATCAGAGCTCAGGGAATTCACTGTCACCTCCAGTAATGAGTGATGGGCCCCAGTCCCACATTCTCAATCTTTTTGTCATTCCTTTGTTGCCACCGAACACGGGGTACCCACGGGTGATGTAGGGCTGCTTCCCTACAATGCATTTTTTAGTTTTAGTGCAAACCAAATCGTATAAATTTTGTTCATCTCTGAGACAAATTAAGTAGACAAATTTAAAATAGTACAGACATCTAAGACACCTAGGCCTATTGTAGATTGAACTTTAGTATCAGTTTATGTTCCATGGGCTGGATCTTGATCAGATATGCGGTGTTTTTAAATACTGAAAATAGGGAGCCTTAAGTGTTATCTAACAGACATCTTAATTGGACTAGAACTGCTTTCGGGAAATGACATGATCTATCTGTAATTTATTTCCTTTTATTTGCTTACATAAAAAAAATGTATTTCTCTAAATGTCTTCTTAATTTGCTGTAAGGGGATGAGGTATAAGGGGTGAGAACAAAGGGGATGAAACAACTAAAATATGTTTACTGGTAAACCGATTCCAGTGAGATGAGATGTCTTCAGCTAGTGAAACCTCAAAAAAAAAAAAAAAAAAAAGGAAAAAAAAGAAAAAACACCACAAAAAAGAAACAAAACAAATCACTCAAATCTTCTAAAAAGAAAATCTGACTTCATTCCTGAGTCAGTATGTAGTCAGGAAGTTTGAAATCAGAACATGACTGAGAGAGTGTCCAGAGGATTGCTGTCAAAATATGAACATGTTCATAAGAATACAACAAACAAAAGGCCTAGATAACAGCTTTATTTTCTCTAAGCATCTAATGGAACCTTAAAAGAGAATGATAGTTGTCTCCATCTCAGTAACAAGCAAAAAACTAAAAGTTTAAACCGCAACAGAAAAAATTTGTGTTAGTCATAACAATTATTTTTTTCTTACTTGGATTATAAACCCCTGGAAAAATTAAGCAAGGATAAGTTTTAAAATTTCTGGTTGTTGGCTAGAAACAAATATTACAATGTATCACATTTGGTTATAAAAGAGGTAGGACTAGTAAATTTTTGAGATTTGTAATCTGTAATTATAGCTGTATCTATATAAATTAATTTTATAGTGGTTCATAAATCTCAAGACCAAGATTTAGAAAGTAATTATTTGTTTTACTGCACTAACTGGTTACAAATAATTTTTAACGTCCGTTTTATTTTGCTTTTCTGTCACATTTCCAGATAAAGCACCTGGAAAGTATAGGAGATGGAATATGGAAGAAAATATATGTGTTCCAGTAAGACTTTTAATGTGTTCCACATTGGCACATGCCTTCAGAGAATAATGTAAATTATTTTTATCTTAACACACAAAAGGAGAAAGGCTTAACTTGCAGAAAAAAGAATATGCGTTAGACATAAAAAAGTCTTTATTTCCTCCACTGCTACCTAAATATAAACCTATTATTCTAACATATTCCCTTCCACAGTGATTCTCACTTTATTTTCTATACACCCCAGAGAAAAAAATAAAAATAATTTAAATCATTGAAAACATAAAGTATACTAGAAACGAGCTACAAAAATGTACCAAACAAGTCAGGATTTCACCGACTCTTCGTGAAAATAAGAATTAAAAACTAAAGCAAATATATGTACCAACTTTAGAAAAGATTCACTAGCTTATATGATGTCTCCACAATGATTTTAACCAATAGTCTGAGCGGAAATAAAAGGATTGACAAAATAGAATGAGATGTTGGAAAACTTTTTGAGGGATAGTTATTTTTTTCTCTCATTTAGTGTATATAGGCATCAGAGGTGAAAATGAGAAACAAAGATACAGAAAATAAATTTCTCAGTCATCTACTTACCATAAGCCTAAAGAAAAGTAAGTGGTTTATATGACAGAACTAACATTGTAAGTCATTTCTAATACCTGTGCTGATGGAAACCACATACAGCTCATGATAGTCCTTATTAGAAGGGTTTACATTGAACTGAAAGGCCAAAAATTACAAAATGGAAAAAAGCATTAGGAGATTCATTATTCACAGTTCTTTTAGACATTTGTAGCACAGAGTTGGAAAACTCAAGATTGGAAACAAATGAAAAGTTGATGAAAAAGCAAAGATGGAGCACTTTTTAAGAAATTACCCTATTCTGTCTCAGAGGCAGATAAATAAGCTGAGGATATACAGGATAGAACAGAAACTGTGTACTTCCTGTTATGGACTTTATTCAAAAGTTAGTTCTAATTTTTAATACAGTGAATATCTTGAAGGAGAGTTGGAAAGTAAGCCCGTAATGGATGTGACCATGCTATGTTCTGTTTATACAGCTAAAAGAGCAATTTTGCTCTAAATTGGAATTATTTTATGATATTCAGTGAATATTTATACATAGTATATGAGAAAATATAAAATAAAAATAGGAGTTACAGGAAGGTCATCTTAAAAAGAAAGAATAGGACAGGCGTGTTGGCTCACGCCTGTAATCCCCGCACTTTGGGAGG